TTTGTGTGTACAAAATATTCGTCTCAACAAGAGAAATTTAATTTCAAAATCATTCACAATTTTTATAACGTGTCGATTAGTTTAGGTAAAAAAATTTCACAAATTAAGATTTCCTTGAAGGTGAAGTTTAGTAACAAGTTGAAATATTCGGCACAAAACAATTTACGTAGAAGTCAGCGATGAACATTTACCAAAATGTACTGGGCTGTGGATTTAAAAGTTTGTTGATAAAGTTAAATATATTTGGCATATTTTAAATTTAATTACGTCATAATCTATGAAAAGAAAGGGAAGAGTTAATGATAAAATTAAATATTATTAAGTTTTATTTTTAAAATCACCTGAAGGGCATTTGTATTGAGGGCAACATTCTCCTTCGACAGGAATCGCCTCACACATAAAAAATGGAGGCGGTTTGCAGAAAATGAAACTTGTGTCTGTGATTACTCCTCTAATGCAATAATAAACACGACAAAACATTAGAGTTTAAAGAAAATAAAAAAATCTTTGATGTCCCCAGCTAGAAGAACATTTGAAGTTAAAGACAAGCAACAGAATTTTTTATCTTTTTATTCAAAAAAGTTAATCTTCTATGTGAATCTGATATGGTGAGGGATGCCTAATTTAGAAGAGATAACAATGTTTGATATTATTTAGAAACATTTCATCTAAGTATAATCTAGCGAAAAATATTTGATTATGTTATCAACGCCGTGTTGTTCCCAAGTGATGATAAAGTGACAGTTCCAATGTTGCAGCAATGAAAAGTTCTGAAATGCCGATTAGATAAATATGAAATTAAAACAACATTACAACTTAATAACTTAATTTCAGATTATCCAACGGGAATTATTATTAAACAATCGAATAGGCTTAACTTACACGCGATATCTTATCTCATTGATAAGAATTTCAACAAATAATGGTCACTTCATTCGAGTGCTTGAAATCAATTATCTATCATAGAAATTTATAAATTTTTTTTTCATTTATTTTCCATTCCTGGAGTGCCTCATTGTTGTAACTTCTCGAACTGAAATCTTATGAAATTTATTAATCACCTAATTACGTCAAAGATAAGACATGATTACGATTCAAACCGAATCAAATATAATTCGGTTGATTGATGTAAGCGAATTCAGTTTGATTGAAACGCTTCAGCTATGAAGACGATTTTAATTCTAATCGTTGGGATTTGCTTTGTTAGTGGAGCTGATCGCTCGCTTTTTAAAACTTGCGGACAAAGCAGTTTCTGCAGAAGATGTCGCAATGTATCCGGACCATCTAATTACGTTTTTGTTCAGGGCACACTTGCAGTTGATAAAAACTCTGCAACTGTGGAAATTCAGAACACGCAAAATTTTCATATTTTTACGTTGAAGATTAGTGGATTAATGGTGAGTCGATTATGTAATCAGTTATGTAACTTTTTGCGGCGTATTTTTAAATGAATTTTAAGAGTCTTCAATTAAATTAAAATATAAATCACTTTACAAGGCATTTAAGAAATAATTTTAAATTTTTACTCAGCAATAAAATCTTTACCTAATAAGTAATAAAATTAACTTTATTGATGACAACTTTACTGCGATTAAAATTATTTTTATCTCAGATTTTTATTTATAGACTTAAAGTTACTTTTAGTAGAAATTTCATTAAAAGTTAATCACATGACTTTTAACTTATCTCGTTGATAGGACAACACATTCCGTGTTGAGATGGATGAGAAAAGTCCGTTGAGTCCAAGATTTCGTGTGACGGAAGCTCTTCAACAAGAACCAATCTTAGAAAACATTGACGTGACTATTTCTGATTCGGAAATTATAATTAGATCGAAAATGAATCGTGCAGTCATTACAAAATCGCCGCTTAAAATTGACTTTTATCGTAATGACGTTCATGCATTGACGTTCAACGGCAATGGCTTGTTGAGATTTGAAGAACTTCGAACAAAGCCGGCAGTTCTCGATCCCAGCGAAGATCCTGATTCATGGGAAGAAACTTTCATGGATGAAGTTGATTCAAAGCCGAGAGGCCCCGAAGCAGTCGCAGTTGATTTCTATTTCCCAGAATCAGAAGTTCTTTTTGGAATTCCTGAACATTGTGATTCGTTTGCATTGAGAACGACCCTTGGTGATGAACCATACCGATTGTACACATTAGACGTGACTGGTTATGAAATCGATAGTCGAATGCCAATTTATGGTGCAATTCCTGTGCTTTATGGTCATGGCGCTGGTCAAACTACTGGAGTATTCTGGCATAATTCAGCTGATACGTTCGTTGATGTTCATGACAAGAAAACTGTTCATTTTATTTCTGAAACTGGAATCATTGATGTCTTTGTTCTTCTTGGACCATCACCAAAAGAAACTTTCATTCAATATACGAAACTCACTGGTGTCACTAATCTTCCACAACTCCACAATCTCGCTTATCATCAAAGTCGTTGGAATTACATGACTCAGCAAGAAGTCATTGAAGTGGTTGATAACTTCGATTTAGTTGATATTCCACTCGACACTGTGTGGCTTGATATTGAATACACAAATGGCAAAAGATATTTCACTTGGGATAAATCAACTTTCCCCCAACCTTTGGAAATGATGCAAAACTTAACAGATCTTGGACGATATTTGACATTCATCATTGATCCACACGTTTTTGTTGACGAAGATTATTCTTTCTATGCCCAAAACCGAGCACGAGGATATTACATTAAGAATTCTGATGGAAGTGATTATCAAGGAGTTTGCTGGCCGGGAATGTCAAGTTATGTTGATTATTTCAATCCCGAAGCTCGTCGCTTTTATGCTGATCAATATTTATTGGAAAACTTTGCCGAAAATTCTGTCACCACCGGCATTTGGAATGACATGAACGAACCTACAGTTTTTGATGTTCCTGAAAAGACAATCCCAAGAGATGCTGTTCACTTTAACGGTTGGGAACACAGAAATCTTCACAGCTTATATGCGCACATGCAAACCAAAGGCACTTATGATGGAATGATGAGAAGATCTAATGGAGAATTGAGACCTTTCATCTTGACAAGAGCTTTCTTTAGTGGAACTCAAAGGTTTCATTGAATGTCTTCAATTTCAATTTATTTTCTTAAATTTTGTCTTTTTTATCAGATATTCAGCAGTTTGGACTGGAGACAACACTGATACTTGGGAATACTTGGAAGCTTCAATAAAAATGTGTTTATCTATTTCAGTAGCAGGAATTTCTTTCTGTGGAAGTGACGTCGGAGGATTCTTTGGTGATCCCGAGGAAGAACTATTCGTGCGTTGGTATCAAGCCGCAGCTTTCCAACCCTTTTTCAGATCACATGCAAATTTCGATTCACCTAGACGTGAACCATATTTATTGGAAGGAGATTCATTGGCAGCTGTTCGTGACGCAATCAAAATTCGTTATGCGATGCTTCCATTCTGGTACACGATGTTTTATGAACATGAACGATTTGGTCATCCAGTAATGACACCGATGTTGACGAATTATCCACATGACACTAGAGTTTTCAATTTAGACAATCAATACATGTTAAGCGATGTTCTCTTAGTTCGACCTGTAACGTCAAAAAATGCTACTGAAGTTGAAGTTCGCTTTCCTCCAGTTGATGGAATTACCGAACTTTGGTATGATGTAACAAATTACAACAAAATAGAAAATATGGCTGGTGGGACGAATTTTTACGAAGTTGATAGATTTAAGTATCCAGTTTTTCAACGAGGTGGAACAATAATGCCAAGGAAAGAAACAGAAAGAAAATCTTCAATGTTAATGGTCGACGATCCAATCTCACTGTTCGTTGCTCTCGACAGGAACAACGAAGCTACTGGAACTTTGTATATTGATGATGAAAAGAGCTTTAATTATCATCATGGTGAATATCTTTACCTTAGATTCACTTTTAGTGACAATTCTTTGAGTAGTCATCACATTGACGATCACGCACATTTTGAATCATCAAATAAACTTGCACGTGTTTGCATTGCTGATTTAAATCCACGCCCGTTATCTGCTACATACACCAATGCAAGAAATGAGACTAGAGAATTAGATGTTTCTTATCCTGATGATGTTTTGTACCTCGTGATTGAGACCACTGACATCAGCCTCAACGATGAATGGACAATCAAATTAAATTATGAAAGTGGTGCAAAACAGAACATTATTTGTGGCGGTTTATTAATTTTTGTGTTGGTTCTTCAATTTGGAAAACATCTCTTAAATTAATATTTCATTTCATGAATTGTCTTATCAAAATATTTAATTAAAAATAAATTTTAATTAGATAATATTGAAAATTTCAATAAATTTTTTAATGAATTTAATTGTGATTATCATGTGTTTCGATTGTTAGGAAAATATTGAATGATGAACAATGAAAAGATTTCTTTTAATTCTTTTGATACTTCACCACCCCCGCCATCAATTGCAAATATCAAAGAAGCCGGTAAAGCAGTTTTTATTCTTCACTATGAATACTAATTACAAATTAACATTAGTACAACTAAAGAAATTCCATTTAAAATATATCTGAGCCTGTTTTACGTGCACGTAAATAAGCTTCATCTGCTGTCAGTTGCTCTTCTTCACTTGGTTCTTTACTAGTGCCGTCCTCGTTTAAATTATCATTCTTGAAATCGTTGAGGATTTTTCCTGCATAAATAGCATTGAATAAGTCTTGACTGGTGAATTCTGATTGAACAACATCTAGAGTCTTGTATGACACATAAGGTTTGAATTTGCAATCAGTCAAGTCAGGAACAATAAGTTCAGGAATCATTTCCGGTATTTCCTTATATTCGCCATTGATTCTTATACCAGTTTCTCGTAAACCTCTCAAATCTATAGGAATATCTGGATTACTTATGTGACGATATTTCTTGAAAATTCTGGTTCCTCGTTTGTTATAACTGCAAGTAGAAGCAGAAAATTAGTACAAAATATTAACAAATAATGAAAATAAAACCATACAGCAAAAATTTCCTAAAATTCTTTTTTCCACTTAAAAATGATGTTGTTGAGATTTGCCTTCTTGTCACTTGCAAAAAATTTGTAACAAAGCTCATTTTTATTTAATTGGTTTAAGTGATTCAAGCTGAATTCAAGTGATATTATTGTTTAATAAAGATTTTTTAAATTCTCGTGTTTACAAATTGCGAGAATTTTCGAAATTCGAATTCGAATTTTATGGTTTGTGTCTTAGGTTTGTTTACAATTTTAAGGAATATTTTTGACACATGTCACATTGAGATGTTTGTTTCAGTGTTATAAACTGAATCTCGCCCTCTTAAATATTGTAGACGTCAAATACGAAGACTCCTATTCGCAACTTGCAGAAAAAATATTTTTCTGTAAATAAACTTCCTTTCAACCGCAATTAAAAAATAGTTAAAATGGTTATCCGTACATATGATCAGGAGCTTGAATATATCGAAAGACTTACAGATTACAGTTTCAGAATCAAAAAAGGCTTCCAGGTAAATTACAAGATTTATTAAAATTCACCGGCTTAATAAAATCTTTTTTTACAGCCAAACATGAAGGTTGAAGGAGTTTTCTATGTGAACAAACATTTGGAACCTTTGATGTTTGAAGAGTTGAGGAATTCTTGTCGATCTGATGGCATTGGAGGCTTCCTACCAGGCATGAAACAAATTGCAAACGTGGCTGCACTAGATGGAATCGTTGGAAAGTTAGTTTAAATAATTTTGTTTCACAATGCAAGTTGTTTGAGTATTTCACAATATTATGTAGGTCAGTTGGTCTTCCTGATATTCATTCTGGATATGGCTTTGCTATTGGTAACATGGCAGCTTTTGATATGAACAACCCTTTATCGATTGTTTCTCCTGGCGGTGTTGGTTTTGATATAAATTGCGGCGTTCGTTTGTTACGAACAAATCTCATGGAAAAAGATGTCAAACCAGTGCAAGAACAATTGGCTCAAAGTCTTTTCGATCACATTCCTGTTGGAGTTGGCAGTAAGGGTATCATCCCAATGAATGCTAGAGATCTCGAAGAAGCTCTTGAAATGGGCATGGACTGGTCACTTCGTGAAGGATATGTGTGGGCGGAAGACAAGGAACATTGTGAAGAATATGGACGAATGTTGAACGCTGATCCATCGAAAGTCAGTTTGAGAGCGAAGAAACGAGGATTACCACAACTTGGCACTCTTGGTGCAGGAAATCATTACGCGGAGATTCAAGTTGTTGACGAGATTTACGACAAATGGGCTGCAAGTAAAATGGGAATTGAAGAAACTGGCCAAGTTTGCATTATGATTCATTCAGGAAGTCGTGGCTTTGGTCATCAAGTTGCAACCGATGCTCTCGTTGAGATGGAGAAAGCAATGAAACGTGATAAGATTGAAACGAACGATCGACAACTTGCATGTGCGAGAATTCAATCGCCAGAAGGCCAAAACTATCTGAAAGCAATGGCAGCGGCTGCAAACTTTGCTTGGGTGAATCGAAGCTCGATGACATTTTTAACACGACAAGCTTTCGCTAAACAATTCAATACAACACCAGACGATCTCGACATGCATGTAATTTATGATGTCAGCCACAATATTGCGAAAATCGAGAATCACGTCATTGACGGAAAGGAAATGAAGCTTCTTGTTCATAGAAAAGGAAGCACGCGCGCTTTTCCACCACATCATCCGCTAATTCCTGTCGATTACCAACTGACAGGTCAACCAGTTCTAGTTGGTGGAACTATGGGCACTTGCAGTTACATTTTAACCGGCACAGAAAAAGCTTTAAGTGAAACATTTGGTTCAACATGCCACGGAGCTGGTCGAGCTTTGTCACGAGCGAAATCACGACGAAATATCGACTACATGGACATTTTGGAACAGATGAAAACAAAAGACATTGCGATTCGTGTTGCATCGCCAAAATTAGTCATGGAAGAAGCTCCAGAATCATACAAAAATGTCACCGACGTTGTTGACACTTGCCATAAAGCTGGAATTAGTAAAAATTGCGTAAAACTTCGCCCAATTGCTGTCATTAAAGGATAAAAATTTTGTTGTACTTTATTGAGAAGAAATAAAAACTTAAATTTTCTTTATTTTATTAACTTTTGTAACAACTTTTCATTTACAAACCCAAAACCATTTTATTATTTAACAAACTCGCAAGCAACTTAAATAAAATAATAAAAAATAAAAGTTTTACTGCTTATTGATGAGAGCGAGAACTTTGTTGATGCTGCCAACCCAAAATGAATAATCTTCGGCACTTTCAGCTGCAACTGGTAAGCTAATGGAAAAAAGAGAAACTATTAAAGTTTTGGGGAGAAATTTAACGAAATAACTTACAAGAAATCATTGTCATTGATGTAATGATTGAATTTGAGTAGAAATGTGAATGGCTTCATTGAGACGTTTGAAACGATTGGAATGACAAAATCACTGTCGAGATTATGAAGATCAAGTAGAATTGGCTCAGCGTTTTCATCAGATATCAAAGAGAATTCAAGAAGATGTCCACATAAAACTGCATTCGTTTTCACCCAAGAATTTCCCAACTTAACGAGCAATTCATTTTCATGGTGAATGTCAGGCGTGATGAATTGTTTGAATTTAATTGAAACTTTCTTACGCAAAGGAATGTTGTCGGTTTTAATAACTTCAATCATATCAAATCGTTGACGATTGTCACTTGAATCGCAAGCTGTTAAATAGAAAAATCCAAAAAACTTCAAAGTAGTCTCACGAATTGATTGCTTTTGACTCCAAAATGTTGTCCCGTAGATTTCAACTCGAATGTTAAAGTCGAGATAAACATCAGAGAATTGAAATATTTCAGAAAATTTAATTGTGCGAATGTCATCAGTGATGGCGAGTGGTTTGGAAGCGATAACTTCGCCATCGTATTTGAAGAGAACGAGGATGAATTCATTGCGAGATGTTCTGAATCGTTCTAGATAATTTTGTTTGATTTCCAACATAACTTCACTTATTTCACATTTTCCTTTGACATGAAATGGTGGCGAATGGAAACTTTCTGAGTGAGATAAACGATTGACTTCAGCCATGGAAGCTTGTAAACGAATACTGGCAACCAAATAATGACGTTCAATTTTCATTATTTCTTCGAGATTTTCTTCATTTACTGTCACATGTTGCAGAACTTGGAAAATCATTGTCAACAACTTTTCCTGCTTTTCACCTTCTACTTTCAACTGTTCCAATTTCTTGATTCTCAATCGATTCATTTTCTCATTTATTGAATGAATCTTTTGTTCATCGTCAATGGAATCCAATTCAATTTGACTTTTCTCAACATTTTTTTTGTCATTGATTTTGCTTTTCATTTGTTTCTCAAACTCTTTTTGATGTTTCAAAATGTCATTCGAATATTCTTTTTTAACATTCTTCAAGGCATCACTTACTTTTTCATCTTCCAATTGACGATTTATGCGTCTTTTAGTTTCAATCTCATTTAATTCCTTTTCAATGAACTTGTCCAAATCATTGAAAACTTCTAAAATGTCAGGACGTCGATTTTCGTCATTGTAAAGTTTTTGAATTTTTGGACTGTTCTTGATATTGCTGTCGAATTTCATATTTTTAGATGCAGCTTTGTTTGATGATAAGGTTAGATTGTTCAGTAGACTTTTCATATAATCAACAGAAGATGAAGTAGTGGGAGCTGATGACGATGACACAAAATTATTGTCGGTTGTTGAAGGGGAAGATTTTTTTTCATTCCCCTGTGCTCCTTGACGACTATCATTCATATTAGGTTTATTTCGTGTGACGATATCTGAAAATAATCTCTTTACTAACAGTATTTCATATATAATTCTACGAATAAACGCTTACTGAAACATGATTTAAACTTTGGCGTTGAACAAACTTTTCTATGCGACTTTTTATCGTTTTTTTCAAAAAATTCAAGCTTTTCCTGAAATTTAAAATGTTTATTAGTTCAATATGGAACCCTAAGTAGTTTTATCAGTATTACTTTGAAGGAAAGTTGAGAAGAATCCATTTTTTATCAATTTTACTGATTTACGTTAGCTCTGACTTTTGAAGGTTAAGTTTTTAAGTTCAAATTTTAGACGTTAGTTTTCCACACTTTCCAGTGTTCAAAATCAAACACTCCTTGAAACTTCCAGGATCAATTTTTTGAATATTCAGTTAAAATATGAAACACAACTTCCTACTTTAATTAAATAATTTATTTACTCAAATAAGCTAAACATGGACTGAAGAATTGCTGAAAAAAACTAAATTAAAAAATATGTTCTGATTAAAAATCATTTATTTTCAATTCTTTTTACAATTCATTTTTAATTCAAATCAAAAATTTTCTTTTAAACTTTAATTAACAAAAAAAAACTTTAAAAAAGTTTTTGAATTTTGCTATCTTTTATGATAAAATCTTCTAAATCACATGACGTTGATTCGTTCCTCGTTCGCTTTCGACTTTGAAGTGGACTGTCAGTTATGTCATCCTGGATGCCTTCGTACTCAACATACAATGGAAAAATTCTTTTTCCAGACTTCTTTAAAAGGTAAGGATCGAACGGAAAAACACTTTCCAACACTTCTTCGGGTCGATGTTGCTCATTTGCATAAACTGTGGTTAAGCATTTACTTGCATTGTTGACGATGATGGTTCGGCAGAAAAGAATTTGATACTTTGTCGTTATATTATCAAATATGGTAACGATGGCAGGAAGACAGACATTCAGTGGATTCAATGGATGTTTAACAATCGGCCAAAGATCGAGTGCCAAAAGAAATTTGAGATTTTCTTTCCCTCGAGTCAATTGTGGTCCACGAAACGCGATAATGTAAAACATTGCCTGACAAACCGAATAGAACACAACATGAGCTTTTGGATTTTTATTGGGATTAAAATCACAAGCTTTAATGTAGTCATGTGCCCAATCACTTAAAAGTGTTAAATAATTCTTTAATGTTTCCATTGGCAGGAATTTCGTACGAGAAAGAAAACTTGAAAGATATCCGATGGCAATTTGACGAATAGTCGGCGATTGATTGCGATCCACAGTTTTACGCCATAGAAAGTTGAGGAAGTCGTTGAGAAAAGTTTTCTGGTGAATAAAATTAAGTTAAATTTATTTATAAATTATTGAATGTGAAATTGAACTTACTTCTAAACTTGCGATGTAAAAGAGAATAAAATGAACGTGCTTCGTATGTGTCTTGAGGATTTGCTCGTCGAAGTATGTAAAAATTGCCTGAATTATCATTTTTTGATTTCTTTTTCCAGAATCGGAATTGTCTTCAAATTTTGATTGAATAAAATTAAAAACTTTCTCCATGCAAAGGTCTAAAGTCTCAGCTACAGGTAATTTCATAATATCCTCATCATTCTCATCCTCATCAGCTTCTGATAGTTCGATTTGTTCTCTTGTAACATTGACATCAATCATTACAAGATTTTCAAGAACTAAATCTACAATATCGTAAGTCATACTTGGGCAGTATTCAAGAATCATAAACAAGTTGTGAATATATCCGACGATCTTAAAGTTTTGTTCTTTGAAGTAAGGAAATTCTGAGCGAATTTCTTTCCGTAATGTCACTGGTATCATTGGCATAACTTCAAGTATCTTCGCAATGAGTGTATGAACAAGATTAAGTTTCATTTTCATTTCTATTGTTGGAATTCCATTGCACCAAAAATCGCTTTCGTCATCTAAAACAGTAATAAGAAAGTTTTGTAAACACAAATTTGTAGCTTCAAGATGAGTGTAAATACTTACCATCTGGAATAAAACAACCGATAATTTTTGATAAACAAAGCATCAAGAAATCTGATTTTGACGTCATCAAATTAAGAATGAAACGATGGAAGAGTTCAATTATGTCGTTGCTTCTCATGATCCATCTTGTATCTAAAAGACTTTGCACTAGAAGAATATGGTCTTTTCGAAAAACTGACACACATTCGATACATTCTGAGATGATTTTACGCAGTTCTTCATCCTACAACATGAAAGATAAAACAGATAACCTTGGATGAGCAAATATGTTGAAATTATAAATAAAAATTTATATTTTACCTTGATATCTTTATCGGAGAGTTTATAAATTAGATTTTGGTAACATTTTAAGTTAGGATTGTCATCAAGATCTGTTAAAATTTCTTTCACTGATGATAAAGTCTGAACTTCAAACCGCAAAATTTTTGCTTTTTTAATAGAATCATTGCGGTTTACTGATGATTTTAATATCGAAGAGTTTAATGATTTTCTACTACTTATTATTGACATTTTTCTATTACCATTACGATCGAAGAAAGGAGGTAAAAAAAGAAAACTTAAAATTTTATAACACGGAAATAAATTTACGCACTTGCGAGAAGTTCCTCGTGTTGGTACAGGTTGTCAAAATTAATCACATGTGAACTTTTATGACCGTCTGTCAGAAATGCAACATAACAAAGCTTCACACCCCACAGAAAAATAATAACACAGAGATTAGAAAAAATAGAAATGGACGAAAATAATGGTGAAATATCAAAGTTCGTTAAGTTTCTTGCTTTCAAAACAACACAAATTGTGGTTCAAAGTAGATTGGGAGGACTAATATGCACGAAATGTAATAATTCTGGGACAGACTGGTTCAATATCGCCATTCAAGATCATCCTGAAGTGTTAATTGAAACAAAGAAAGCATTACAATCAAGTCAAAATGATTCTATCTCCGGACGTCTACCACTTTCAGTTGAAATTTCTTTACAAACCACAGATGGTGACAGAATGGTACTAGAAATATGGACACTGAGTTTAAATCCAGATTTAAGTGATCCTGCGCTCAAGGCCACTTACACAATCTACAATCGAATGAGTATTCTCTTGAAATCACTTATATCAATAACTCGTGTAACTCCTGCATATAAGTTAAGTCGAAGACAGGCTCCTGAGTCTTATGGAGTGTATTATCGTATTTACAATGGTGAGTCGCAGTACAATCTTGGAGATTCTTACAGACAAATCCGCATTGGACAGATAACAACACAGATTGGAACATTAAGTATGAGTGTTGCTTATCGTACAAAAATGACTATATCGCCATCTCAAAGTGGACGTGACAATGCAATTATGTTAAAGAGTGACCATTTCTTGAAAGATCAGAGTCCGAAACATCTCCGAAATCCAGGCAACAGTAAAAAGAATGAGAAAAAAGTAATTGACATAGAAAAGCCTATGAAATGTGGAGCTTTTGTTGATCGCAGTCGAATTCCACAGTATACTGAACAAGATTATAATCTACCCGAAAATCCTCCTTTTAGTTGGTTAATGAGAAAACCTAAATCAGAATTGGAAGATAAAATCGAAGAAGAAAAAGTGACAAATGATGAAAATTCCTCTCCAAATAATAATAATAACAATACCTTAAGCAGTCGTGCTGTTGATGCAACGAAACTCTCACAATCACCGAAAGATAATGTCAGTGGGACATCTCCAAGTTCTTTGAAATCTCGCTGGTCAATGAGAGAAAATAAAGACGATGACAAACTTCTAAAAGAACTGCACTTTCCTTTCGCTAATCAATCACCGATAGGAGATCTTGCAAAATTTTACCGAGAATGTTTTAATGCACCACCATTAGAATCATTTACTGTTGAAACGGAACCAACATTCGACCAAGTGGAGAATGAAGTGGCAGTTGATGATTTAGCTAAGCAATTGGCAGAGTTTGAGACGTCATTAAATGAGTTTGATGGATTGTTGACATCGCTGTGCGAATCTGAAAATCAGGGGAATAATTAAATTCTGATTTTTGTACTGAACTGAACATCGCGAATTTTGACATTAAATTCATGTTCATGAATGAAGTCATCGGTCGACAGCCTAGCCTTAGTTATGTGGAATCAGGGTGCCAAGCCTAGCTTAAATTTCGTTCTGAATATTCTTTTCTCTGTTTTTGTTTTTTTTTAATTAAATATGTACACTATATTTTGGCCAAGCAGCTCGTTGTATATGCTTAAAGTTAAAATATGAAAGAAACTTAAATAATTCTATGACCAAATATCCTCCAATTTTAAACATGATATTAAATAAAAAAAGTACAATATTCAAGCAATTATCTAATGTAGAAAGTTGCTGTTTTTTACTTCCTTCTTATTATTTGTAATTAAAAGCTAATTAAATTGTTTTAAAACTTGCTTTGTAATATCGTCAATTTCTCATAATTTCTCATAGAAATTAATTCAAAAGTTTTAACGAACTTTACAGTTTCAAATAAAAAGGCAAGTAGTGACATGCAGCGGGAAGTAGCACAGCTAAACTTTAAAAATTAAAACCCGTTAAACTTTCTTCATTTTCATACGAAAAACTAAATCAGATACCTGCATTTTTCATGAATAAATGTTCATCAAGAAATAAATTTAAATCTAATTTAAAGTTTTTCTTATTAAATATCAAGAATTGCGTCTTCTGTTTCCATATTCGGAATCAGTTATTAAAAAACTTTAAAGTTTTCAAACGAGGGGGTACCTAGCAAGTTAAAGTTTTTGAAAAATTCTCAGCTTGCCGAGTCCACAATTTACATGTTTAAGTTTTAATACAAAAAAACAATTTATCAGTTTCTGTTAATATTAAAAAGAGTATTAAACTTTTCCTCCATCAGAAAACTATTGAAATCTAACAAAATACTTGCTTAAAGATCGTTTTTCAATTAAATGTGAAATTTCTCAGTAGCGTAATCTGTTGAAATTGGAGAAGAAATGGCTACTAACGGTCAAAACTTTGACAAGGAGCAAGAAATAAAAGCGCTCAAAGACAGTTTGTGTCGTATACTTGGTTCTTTAAGTCGAGTACCAACAGAGAAGGAAATAAAAACAGCTTTCAAAGATCAGGAAGGTTACAATATTAATGTAGCATTGGAAAAAGTAAGTCAAGACATCATTTCAAGTAACGCTTGTGTTGTGTTCTAAATTTTGTTTTCCAGATTGACGTAACTCTTATTCACTTTTTACGTTTTCATTGTAAATCTTTTTGTGATGTTTATCGGCTTGATGGTAATGTGAAAATCCTTCGTCTCTTTGAACCATCAAGTCAAGTTGGTCAAAATAAGAAACATAAAAAACATCAGAAAAATATTCCAAAATTGCAGTAAGAAAGTGATGAGCTCATGCTTTAAGCATTTTATTAATATTTTTTTCTCTAATTATTAGTGTCAATGTTGGAAAAGTGGATGCACGAAACCCCCAAAGCAAAATTCCTTTAAATAAATCCAAAAGCGTTGCAAATTTATCAGAGAAAGTCGATGACGAACTATCGCAATATATTTATAACAGAAAATCAAAAACTTCACTCGAGACTGATGTTTCTCCTGATAAAGTAAATAAAACAACTTTGAGCGTCAACAGTTCTTCTGAATTTCCTTGTTTGAAAAAAGAATCTGAAGAAACAGTTTTAAGTGAAATTCTTAACGAAGGAAATAACAAAAAATCGGATTTGGAAACAACAAACGATTTTAATTTCGAGAATTTGGATAAAAGTTTGACAGAGATTCAGAGGGAAGTTGCAGAAGAAAAACAAATTGATGAGTCAAGAAGATTTGAAACTGCAGATGATTCAATGGATTGCAGATTTTCGAACGGTTCAGGCAATCAACAAGCAGCTTCCGACTTTCAGTTGGAATATTTCATGAAAATTCGCTATCCAGAAATCATTGATGATCCCAAAGTTTCAATTCCCACTCCAAAACTTAAGATTATTACCGATAGAATTCTCTTTGAGATTCGCATAACGATGGCTTATTCGCCTACACAGTTTTGGTTTCAATATGGTGAAGAAACTTTATTCATTCATATGAAAAGTTTGAATGAGTTTTATGGCCGCTTACCTGTCGGTCATTTGGTGATTGACAAGTCAAATGTGAGAATTAATTTGGTAGTTGCGACAAAATTTCACGATACTTGGCAACGTGCTCGAATCTTATCGGAAGTGAACGATGAAAACAATGTTCAGGTGTTCTTGGTGGATATTGGCTGCACATGTTGGAAATCATTATCAAACATTCGTTATTTGTTGAAAATGTTCTCAATGTATCCAATGAAAGCTTTGAAAGGCGCTCTTAGTGGAATTCGGCCAAGAAATGGAGAAAACTTTTGGAGTGAAGAATTTAGTCGTCATTTCTGTTCTCATGTCTTTGACAAAAAGCTCTTTGGAGCTATTAAAAGTCTTCGTCATGATGGCGTTTTCCTACTCGAAATCACAGAAAAGATCACAAAAAGAGAAAACTTAAGTCAAGAAATGATTCATAAGGATTTGGCCGATCCAGCAACTGTCGACAATTATTTTCCTTATGCTTATCCATTGCCGTTTGCTGCCATCAATTTCTGCATCTAAATCGTTATTTTCATTTCTGTGCAAGCAATGATCACAGCTTTTGAACATAAAATTCTTATGTTCAATCAAAATAATTTCATATCCATTTTTACGAGTAAATTCTATGTTTACTCTTTAAGTCTGTCGTTATGTTTTCTTTTTTGACATTAAAAACATAAAATTAACTGTCTGGATCTGAGAAAAAAATAATCATAAATTACTCGATGAAATATTTTTTCAAAGATGTTAAAGCTTTCCATAAATCGAATTCTCAGTAACTTTAAACTTTTATTATAATTGGAAAGCGTTTTGTTTGTTATTAAAATATGAATGACTCGTAATTGTTGTTTGACACTGGAAACATTTAATAAATAAATAAACAAGAATGTTTTTTTATAATCAACAATTTTATTTATCGTTCATTTTTTAATCAATTTGAAACATTGTCGTTTACTTTTTGTGCTAATTATCAGAATTCTCGTTTCAATATTTATTCCTCCTTTCTTGTCCTTGATATATGTACGGGGTTTGTTAAATATTTTCACGAAAAAAAGATTATTTAAACAAAAGAAATACAAATTCAACATTTAATGATAGCAAATCGGATAGAAATAAATTTTTTATGGAGTAATCTAGACTGCGATCTACAAATTGTTTGGATTTTTTTATAAATGTTTTTAATTCGCTTATTTTAAGTTCTATGTATTTTAATTAAATATTTTAAGCGATCGTTCTCAAAAGCGATTAGTTATTCTAATTACTTAATTTTAAATCCTTTTTAGTCATCATCATTTCTTGTTTTTCATTCGGTTATTAAATGCTGTGAGAACGATCAATGTTAATTATGCTTTATTTGAACAGTTTAAATCTCGAATCTTTAATTGTATTCTTTTTAATTTTCTCTTTATTATCAACCGCTTTAATTAAATTCGGTTAGAACTAAGCATATTAGAAATGTAATTTGTGGTTGTTAAATTATTCTTGGATGATGATGAGACGTCAAAACTTTCATGAAATTGAGAAGCTCAACAGATGTCATCCCACAATAACAAAACAACGACAGCTTTCTTTATATAAATATTTTTGTATAATTATCAACTAAACTATTTCCGTTCTAAATGAAATGTTTTCTTTTATTTAAATTTAATCTACTTCGACAAGAAGTTCTAAACTTAATCATTGATATAATTTATATTCAACTCTAACTTTTCTTCACTAAATATCGACTAAAAGTTTTCTTCTTTCTTCTTTTTTTATCTCATTCGAAATGCTCGTTTTTTGCGGTTTTTTTTTTGGAAATTTAAATTCATTTTTTCACAAGAAAGTTTTTGTTTAATAGAGATAGTTGAACGACTTAGTTTATAGATTAACGGGGTCATTGGAAAAATGTAATAAATATTCTTGAAGGAATACAATTTCCCATTGTCAATGAATAGTTTATAATTTGTCTCTTTAGGTATGCAATTGAGAGAGCTTAAATAATGATTGTTTGAGTGAGATTAAACTGTAAATCGATATCACCTGTTGACAGCCTTACACCAAGGAATTTCATTTCTATTTCCATCCTTTATCCGCAAATCGATGTCGAGTGGGCGAACCCGAACTTGACCTCAATCATGGACAAAGAATTCATATCAATCTTCAAAAGAAATCTTTTGCTCGTTTCGTTTTGAAAGAGAAGAATTACTGCGGTGTTTTTAATGATTTCCCAGATTGCGAATCGACACCGGAAAATCAAAGATATAAAAATTTTCCGATCCCTTTTCACAAGTTTTTCTTCTTTAAATAGATAATTATTGAGTGTGTGTGTGTGTGTGTGTGTGGGTGTTCATTTCTTTTTCTTAAGATTCTGAATAAGAAAAATAAAAGTGAAGTTAAGTAAATTACAAACAAGTGGCTATGAATAATCAAGAAGAAGATGACGAGTGCCTGCGGTATCGCTTGTTATCACAATAAAATCTCTGCTTTCGAAAAGAAAGTTAAGCGAGAAACTTATTGCGTGATAAGAAATAACAAACAACGTTTTCGCCTTTTCTAAACAGATATAACTTGATTAGATTGTGGAAAGTTTTCTTTGTTGGCTAATTCTCATCATCACACAAATATCGCCTCGCCTAGCTTCGCCCGTCTTTAATCAACAGCCGACTGGTTTTTGGTATTGTTTTGATGTTTCTGGCAACGATCGTTAATGATGAAATTCCAAAAATGAGATGTTTCGTCAAAATCAGGATTATTAAGTCAAAGTATTGTTATTTTAAATCCTTTATACAACCACCGAGATGGTAACTTTAATAGAAAGAAGGATTTACTCTTGTTCTAAATACAAGCACGAAATGATGATGTTACTTATACAGCAAAGAGAACAGTTTAATGTCTCAAAGGAATCCGCGTTCAGGATTAAATACTTAACTTTCAAAGCCATCTAAAGAAAGTTTCTTAAACTTCCTATTCAACGTAATTAAATGAGTTAAATTCTTTTCCAATAAAGTAAGCGCCGTGAGCTTTCTAAACGCTTTTAATGAGATTTTCATGTCTTCAAAATATTTTCCTTTTGCTATCGATTTTCTTATCACTAAAAATCATTTTCAGCATCACTACAACTTTTGTTTATTCAGCCAAAATCCGGCTGCTCGCAATTCTCTGTCGGCATAATTTATAAATGTTTTTCATTGTTTACGTAATTATTCTAATCTTTTCATCAACAACTTAAATTTAAATGCGTAGATTTCCCTCATGATTTTCATGTGATTTTAATTTATAAAATATATTCATTCGTCTAAATATTTATATGTACCTAGATATATTTACAGTTTTTACGTAAGCCTTCGCGTTGGTTGTTTCTTAATAACTAAACTTTAAAAGTTAATTATTGCCACGTATTCATGTATCTAGATGTCATTTTATTTTATTTCATTCTCATTATGTATCAAAATTGAAGATATTTACTAAGGAAATCGAGAAGTGAGCTTAATTAATTAGACTAATGCTATTATAAAGTAAAATCGTTCAATATAGCATTCAAAAGAAGCTCCAGAAAGACGTGAGGTTTTCGGACGAAGACGATGAATTATTTTTCATTTTGCCATCCCCTCTTCAGCCTCGCGCATTTCAAGGCATTCTCAGGCAATTTAAAATTCAAATGAATGCCAAGTTGATCTATTTAAACATTGTGATATCAGAAATGATTGAATTACTTGAATTAGAATGCTTTTTGCCTTATTATATCGGAAAGAAATTCGAGTAGGATTGGAGAAGGAAAAAGTTTAAATCTTTTTTCTATTTGCTTAATCACCTTAATATAATTTTAGTTTTACAGCCCGCAGATGAGTTGGTTTAATTCACTTTTTTTATTTCTTCTTAAAAAATTCTTCTTTGATTGTTATAACAAACTTTTTTTTGCTTTATCAATTAGCATTATTCATTTCATCCCCTTTTTTGTGTAAAGGGAAATGTTTCAACATTATAAATGATAAAATTTAATTGTGAGGCTTTAGAACTTCAACCACTTGTTTTGAAAATGAGATAAGGGAGATGAGATCGAAGGATAATGAAAGTAGGAAACCTCGAGGTGTTCAAACTGATTTAATTTCACATTAAAAGCAAAAATTTTTTTGTGAGATAAAATAAATCTGATCAAATGAAATAAAATTCTTCACTCTGATTTATTGAATTTACTTTCACAACTTATGAGATTGTCGTTTGAGAATGTTTCAGGGATTTGTGTCTTGTTTTGTGTCGGTTAAAAAAACTTTTAATGATGAAGAGACGAGAAGGAAACAATGGAAGGAAATTTTTTACATAAAGCAATTCACATTCAATTTCACTCTCAGAAACACAACAAAGGACGCAATTGCAAGTGACACCGACTTTGTTGTTTGTAAATTTTTTTGCTTTATGATTTTCCGCCAACATTTTCTTTTACTACCACGGAAAAGAAAGCTCGCTTTATGGTTAAACTTCACGAGCACATTTAAACTTTCACATTGTGAAAACAAGGCTTGAAAAGTGCTTTTATTCATGTTTATTTTCATTTTAATTGCAATATGTGGTTCTGTGCTGCTATTTTTAACGTTCAGCCAATTAGTAGGAATTTTATGATCGAAAACCTTTATTGAAATCAAATCATTCAATTTTTCTCTCTTCATTTACGTTCGTCTGATAAACAACAATAAATAAAGTCGAACGTTGTGTAGGAAGAAAATCAGACAAGAAGGAAATCAAAGTAAATTGCAATTTAAGAATCCTCGAATGAATAATCCAAGCCTTTCTTTCTCTCATTCACCTTATCACTGTCAGATTTGTTTACTTTCACTTAAACTGTTTTCTTTTTATTCTTTAAATATTCCTTGCTTTTCAAGTAAAGAAAGAAGACGAGAGAAAAATAATTTATCGCTCGGCTTAGCCACGGAAATTCCTACAAAATGCTTCTCTTTGTTCACCATAATTTTATTTAACTTTATTTTAATAATTTATAATGCTTGCTAAGTGTATAGAAAAGCGAAAGAAGACTTTTTTATCATTTCATTTCATAAAAAGGGAAGACGCTGCAAAATGTGATTCTTTTCTTTAATTTCGTTTACTTATTTAGATATTTTTACAGGGGAAAATGTTTTCCCAGTCACAGGCGTGAAGCGTCTGTTGTCATAAGTGAAATTTAAATTTATCATTGTCGCATGTGGAAAAGGTAGAAGATCATTCAGATGTGCTTGCTTTTCTACTTCGCTTCACACCCTCAAAAGCTCCTTTAAAATGTGATTTCATTTTGATGATAATATAAAATCATTGCACAATTTTACCTCAAACCGGTGCCATGTTTAAAGGAAACAATTAATGTAAAGATCATGTAATTGATTTCCATTTAATGTTTAATTACTGTGAACTTTTGCTATTCGAAATATTTATTTGTTGATATAGTTTTGTGTTTAAATAATCACACGCATGAAAGTTTATTTTATGAAGGAAATAAATTTGAATTGATTTTTCTTTGTTGTCGAAAGCGTTGAATTTATTCAACATTTATGGGAGTGAAATGTGAATTTAAAACTTACTTACGTAGGTAGAGTGATAAATATGATGAATAAATAGAAACTTCCTCATTTATTATACTTATTTACATTTTTTCTAAATTCAAATTTAGGTGACTTCGTTTTATGTTGTTCCATTAAGCTTAAGGTAACAAAAAGCTTTTAAGGTTTTGTTTCCGCAAAGAATTTCTTATTCATTCAGTGATTGACTGAAAACATTTTAGAGATTTTCACTTGGAGTAATTTTTTGTTGCTGTTACTTTCATGTAAATACAAAGTGATGAACTGTTCATTCCAGTCTAACGCCTTTAACGATTTGAGATTCAGTTAAGACTTTGAAAGTGTAAAAAAAGGGAAACTAAATAAGAGCCAAAGAAAAATTATTCTTGGTTTTTTTGGGTGGATTACATTTAAACCACTTTTTACGACAATCTCACATTCTTAGCATTCGCTAAATCCTGATTTGTTTTGACAATGGCGGAAACACGAACAGGAAAGAAGCCAAAACTTTATCTCGCTAGGATAAAAAAGCGGAAATCAAAATGGAAATTTTAAATTCACCGAGAATACTCAGCATGGGGTAATAAAAGAATATTGGAAATTATATGCTAAACTAAACCCGAGAAGAAAGGAAAACTTTTTTATTCTACAAAGCGCAGTAAAGCGAGAACTCATGCATGAAAACATTTTCGTTTCGTCGAAGCTCTTTTAAAGAACAATCGTAAATCGACATTGTTCTGTATGGCAGTGGCAGCAATTTTGCCTAATAACCTTTCTCATCTAACATGATGTTAGTAGTTGCATCACTAAGTATCAGAAATCGGAACTAAATGCTTTTAACTGAGAAATCCTCATATGTTTTGATTACTTTCCACAAGACTTTAATTTTCCACTTTTCACATTTATCACAGATTTGTGTTTCTGCTCGGGAAAATCCAAATGAAAAACGCTTTTCTCACCACTTTTTTCTCACACATGTGGTCGTTCTCGAATAAATTTAAATTGTTTTAGTGCATTCATTTATAAAGCTGTTTTAATTTTTAGGGATTTGCATTCTGTCGCTTTCCAATTATTCACTGAAACTTGATCAAGTTAGTCAAAAGCTTGTGCTCTAAGGCTATTCAATTTTTGTTTTCAAACAATAATATTTATGCAGCTTGCATAGTTCAAGGATGCATTTATGCAATGGAAACATCAGAAGTTGAAGAGTAGCATATCAAAAAATAATAAAAAGTCGTTTAAATAAAAAAAGTTTCTTGATTTGAATTGCAATTGAGAAAGACAAGAAAAAATAAAAAACACGTCATGAGAGTTCTTAACTGTGTGATAGTAAAATGTTGAAAAACTTTATGCAAAAATGTTTTGTTGAATGAAGAAACTTAGAGAAGTTCATTCTGCTAATTATTTGTTAGAGAAATATTAAAACATCGTTGTCATTGAAACTTACATTAGCTTCTGTTGAAAAGCAAAATTTTAATTAATCAAAACTTTTGATGTACGATGATGAATGCTTCAAAAAGTCTCAGATGTAAATTTTGATAATTATTCCAAATAAATTTTAAACTTTTTTAATTATTTAATGACTTAACGTGAGATGAAAAACTTGAATGGGAAAATGGAAAATATTTTTCAATTGATTTTCAGTGAATGAAAGTTTTTAGTTTGCGATTCAAAATCTACTGCAAGAGATTTAATTTCTGTCTAAAGTTCTAAATTCTAAATATTTTCCTTCTACATCCGATTATGGATTCAGGCAGTTGTCATACCGTAATTGCTTAAAATCACAATGAATGAATTTCCGTAGAGTTTTCATTGAAAATCGTAATGATATTGAGTTAATAGAATGTCCCCAAATATGCTTCTAATTTGATTCGAATCTCATAGGAACAATTTATCTTTCGTCTTCATTATGACTTTAAAAAACTTTCAGATTTACATATTTTTCTCATTTGGTGCTTTTAAAAGCTTTACACTTTTATTAGAGAATAAAAACTCCCTAAGGTTACTTTAAGCATTTGGATTTCCTCGAAGTCAACTGGATTTTATCACGGCAATATTTACGACTCTCGTTTACGATGATGCAACCTAATTTATCTAAATGTCATTAAATTGTTATTGTGAAAAAGAAATAGAAAGAGAAAGATTGAAGCAAGATAAATTTTCTTCACGAAAAGGAGGTTCAGAATTCAATCCGGTGCAAAACAATGAACAGAAAGGGAGACAGGAATCCCCTGTTGACTGCTATCATTGTACAACAACTCAAATGCGAAGTTCTTCTTCTCCGAAGACATTTCTACAAATGCATCTAGTTGAATGCCGCATTAAAGTACAATTAATTCTCTTTAAAAAAATATTTGTTTTGTTTTTGTTTTGCTATCTATACTTCTACCGTTATTTAGGATTTTCACGCCTAAAAATTTTACAGTTTTCTCACTTTTTTGTTTGCTTCTTACTTTATACAGTTCATGGCTTTCTAAATATTATGCAGCTAGAAGTCGTTTCGCGGCGAAACTCATTCAAACGCTTACACACTAAAATGTTACTTAACCTCATTAATCTTAATAAACGCCTTTCCTTAACATCTCAATGTCTATAATTAATTCAACAATAAACAAGTTTATTAATTAATTGCTTAAATATTTAAAGTCTATATTACAATAGCTCACAACATCAGGTTCAATGCGTTTTGTTTTCTTTTAATACTTTTCATCTGTGGTATGTAAGCAAGAAAAGCAATAACGCAAAGTGTTTGTAATTTAATTAAGTTGAATGCATGAATGTGAAGCTGTTATTGCAATGAGGGGGTGGGGGTGGTAGTGGGTGGAAAATTTTCTTTATTACATATATACAAACATTTTGTTTCGCGCATAATCCTTTGAAAATCATTTTTCATTATTGCTTTCACATGTGTTTAAATATGAGAAAGGGAATTTCATTATTTACTCGTACCTTACCTTGGCTTGTTCATACGTAAATAAATGCCTCACGAGATGTTAACGTTCACTAAAAAGCACGGGATCCATAATTTTAACTCTTGAATTAAATAATTTTTCATGGGAGTTTTATGTAAATTCTCATTTTTTTCACTGCCGCGTATAAATTTTGCAATAACTTCTCCCACGGTATTTCGGGGCTAAACAACAACAACAGCAGAAAAGCTCGCATTAACACGAGTTATTTTTATCTTTCAAGTTTTTATGCTTCGAGCGATAAAGCTTTCATTTAAACAGAAACAAGCTTCTTTTTAACATAGATAAAGAAACTTAACGTTATGATGTTTCCTCTCCTGTTTACTTGCTTCTTTTTTTCTTGACCATCACCGTTAAGAAGGAAATTTTCTTTAAAATAGTATGAAACATAGAAAAAATGTTTCTCCGCCCACTCATTTATATTTGATAACAAATCTAGTTTCACTTGATGCTTGCATAAATTCACTTACTATATGCATAGCATTCTTCTTGTTTTGTTCAGCTACTCAGGAATTATTTCAGGAAATTTTTATTACATACTGAACACTTTTGAATTCTTTTCTTAATGCTTTGTAATGTTTTGTGCGCCATTAACCGCAACACGGCGCTGATTCCTGTGTTTTCACGTTAATTGCGAGCGAGTGGTGGTAAAATGAAGGAAGGAATTTTTATTTTAGGAATGGAAACAGCATCGGTTTAAATGCACTCGCTGTGCATGAAAATTTCATTTTATTCCTGATTGTTGTATTGGAATTTAATGATTTTATCTTTCTGCTTCATCTACTCGCTTTCTTCCTTTTACATCGTCAACATAAATATTTTCCAAACCGATAATGATTTTCTTCAGTTCTTGAAATCGAACGATTCAAACTTTATCGATTGTAGGAAAATGTTTGGAAAATAGAAAGAAAATTGTTTGTTCTATTTCATTTCCCGTGTGCTTATTTTCATTTTAAATATTTTTCTTTCTTTCATTTTTTTCTTTTCTTCCTTCACTCGCTCGCTGTGTTTCTTCTTATGTCGATTTAATTCAATTATTGATCATTAATCTTTATTATTCTTATTATTGTTATGATGTAATAACGTTGACTTGACTTTAAATGGAATATTAACGTCAGCGGTTATAGAAGGAAGTTTGGTGCACTGAATAAAACAGCTACGGTTGAAATTATTGTAAACAATGTGAATATGATAAGGCACAAGCGGTCAACAACCATCGCAGCGAACTTCCAGTCTTTTGTTATTTCACTCGTTTCGTCTTCTTTCCGCAGCTGATGATGTTCATCAATGTTTTATATAAAACAATTTGTTTTTTTCCACCCCAGTGAATGGTAAGAGTTGTAGTTGATTATGATGAAATGAAAAGCACAAGATAACGATAGAAAGCAAACATTTTATTAATTAAGGAAATTGAATTTAAAGCAGTTGAGTAAAAGCATCAAAGGAACGTTCAATTTGGGAATTTCCCAAATGCCTTACACAACGTAAATACGGAAATAAAAACGTAAAATAAATTTAATCTAAATAAAATGCTGAAAATGTGTAAATCACAGCGAGAAATAAATAAAATTGGGATGACGGTACGAATTAAAGCTGATAAGTATTTAATGCTTAGATTATAATTAATGGGAGTGATCGTAAAATAGAAATCAAAGTTGGAATTCACGAAAAAGGTCTTCAGAAGCATAAACTTCAATAAAACCACTCCCAGTCGTCGTGAAGGCTTTAAAGCTGAGTCATTTCCTTCAGTAGCCGCTTTCCTTCTTTCATTCCTTCCTTCCTTTATATCGCCACATTCTCGTCCACACCAACCACCGAGTGAATGCTGATGAAAAGTCTTAAGAGTCTTCCTTACTCAAATTCAGGCAAACACAAAATGAGAAGCAATAAAATATTCGCTTTCGGTTAAATAATGCATAAAATTAATGGCTAACAAAAGCGGAAGAGATGAAGGCAAAGGCAGCAGACGATGGAATGGAGAATAATGAAGACATAATGAATAAAATTGCGGAGATCTTACCGTGTCTGTTATAACTCGTAGTTCTTTTAATATCAGTGCTAATTCATATTCTGCCGATGAACTGAGGCATGTGTGCGAGACGGTTTCGTGTATGCGTCCTGGTCCTCCGCCCACAGGTCCAATACTTCCATCATCGCCTTGCCGATAAACAGTTCGATAATATGTTGGGTTATGCGGTAACGTATTACATCGATGGTTGCATCGAAAATCATCGTCGATATCGAGCACATTTGCTAGCAATGATTTCGATGACCTAACCGTGTGTGAGTAGAAAAACGGAAATCGAGCATTAAATTGGCATCAATTAGTTTGACAATGGACTGCAATGATTTTCATTCTGCTTCAATTGTACTTCAAAATCATATTGTTCATAAAAGAATTGTACAAAGTTGAATGTGCCATTGGAAATAAAATTTGAATGAGACAACATGAGGAATGAAAATGTTGACGATGTGAGTGTGGGTGGAAAGGGACTCAAAAAATCGATTGAAAACAATTAAATTTCAAGTGGAAAATGAACGTTGACGAGATGAAAACATGGAAGGGCGGGAAAAAGTAAAAAAAATTCGACGCACCTTTCTCTTAGTTCAACATCGTTCAATTGTTTTGCTTTTTCGCTGTTACCACCAACTCCTGGGATGGGTGCGCATTCGTATGACTCCTGTCCCGGACGAGACATTCGCAATAAACATGGAAGCCAGTAGAGGAACACCACTCGAATCTGAAATGAGTTTTTTTTCCTCCGGATGTCGATGAAGCGCGCACGGCGCGATTCAATGATGCGAGAGAGAAAGTGAATGAATGTGGAAAAAGGAGAATGAAGGAGGAAATAATTGATTAGCTTTTAGCACATTAAATATGCATTGCGAGCGAATGATCAACACACTAAGTAAGGAAGAAGATGTTTTTCTCTTGCTTCAATCTGACCATTCACTCTCATGTAAATGCACGTCCATAAATTATGGAGCTTTACATCTGACTTTACTTCTTTTGACATCAATGAGAAAGAACGACAGTGACTCGGGTCGCTTTATAATTAAATTTAGAAGCTCGTTTTGCTTCTTCTACAATACAATTGTATTCTAGTCGTATCGCTATTGTAGTTAGTTGTCCTTGCGCTGAATTGTTCATGAGTCAAGTTGGAGATGTGACACAATGTTTGCATTATGGTAACTTGGACTGAGAAATCGTTTATGACCATAAAATCGTAAATTCTTTTGCGGAAATTAATTTTATCAAGAAATCGAACAAAAACATGCATACAAAATTTCAAATATAAAAATTTCTTGTAATGAAAAATAATTCGCTCCGATGCATCATCGAAAGTAAAGCGAAGCATTGCATTTAAAGTTTGGAAGCAAAGTATGAACGTCGGTCTCTTGGAGAGTGAAACTTAATCCAAGTAATCATCTCTCACTGAACATCAGAAATAGCTTCAAATATGCATCATTCTCATGAGTGGAGCGCTGTGTCGAAAAAATTCTACTTAATCGTCCAAAAGCACTCACCCACTCAGACATTTCATGCGTATCGGCATTTCGGTGATGATAGTTTAAGATTAATATCGTACTGACGACCGACGATGCAACCATAAACATGATACAATTGAAATAAGTTCCTGTGAATGTAAAGTGATTTGTTTATTACCCTCTTATGAGATTATGCGGCTTGTTTGATGTGGCAATGAGAATTATCAGGGAAGAGATGCTTTATGTCTTTAACTGACTCGACTGGTTGATGCCATTAACTTTAACATTAATCTTTTCTTCATTCCCTGAAAATTCATGCCTGTACAGCAACAACAACATCAACATTCACCGTCGCTTCATGCTTGAAGGATTAATGAGATTGAAGGAGAAACTGAAATTCACAAAAATCATTTCACTCTTTCGTTTCACACAGTTCAGTGCAGTGTAAGGAAATATTTCAAAAGATTTTCACGAAAATTAAGGCGAAACTTAGCCGTTTCATAGCTCTGTTATAACGTCTTAAATCTTACAGCTTTTCATCGCTCTTTCTTCGCTTTAATGTGATAAATTGAAGATGTGAAAGTTATTTGATAAACGGCTGTGTTTAATGTTGAATATATGTACAAGCATACATATTTAGTAACTGAGATATGCATGTGAAATATTTTATGAGTTTTTCTTTTTTATTTGTTTGTGCTTTTCCCTCTTTTCATCAAGATCATTCATGCCATTCTTTACTCCTTATCTCATTACATATCATTGTTGTGATAGAAAACGACGGTGAATGTATGGAAATGTAAATTGCTTTTAATCTTCTTACCTAAAAGAGGCACAGCGTCTGAAGTGGCCGGCTATAAAAATGAAACGACAAAGCAGTGAAGTTGTTGCGATGAAAAAAGATGAAATGATTATTACGTAAAGCACCAAAAACAAAAGAGAAGAAGAAAAAAGAAATCTTAGTCACAATATCATTCTGACTTTCTTAACCTACCATTGTTTCAGCCACCATGTTTAGGAAGACGGTGAGAGACAAAAGTATGGTAACTCCTAAGGAAAGAAGCAAAAAAGAAATGAAAAGGTGGAAATAAAACAGAAGTGACAATAAGAACTGTCAGAGAACTAGAAACAAAGCAATTAAAAGCACCACATGGTAAGTATTAGATATAAAAATATCTTGTGAAAAGGATCGTGACATGAGCAGGTCTCCTCCCTTCTCGCAAGGGGCTTAATGTCGAGAGTGATAATCTAAAAGCTTGTTTCAGGGCTTCTTCAATCTCCAAGGAGTTTTTAAAAAAAAAACTTTCCAAGCTTATGCTTTAAAGTGCATAAAATGCAATTTAAAAGTTTCTTTCCCTAAGTGAATCAGAAACAATGTTTAAGAATGATGAAAAACTTTTCATTTGTTGGGCCAAGAATTTTTTTCGATTTTTTCATTCTTTGTCGTCAATTAATTAAAGTTTTTTAAAAGTTCCAAGTTGGAATTTTCTCATCCTTGATTGATGATTGATTTTTTAATTCTTCACTGCATTCTTTATTTAATAAGAAATATTTCATTGTGAGAAAATGAAGATTGAAGATTGCATCATGTCTGTCTGAATGTTTCATAAAAATTAATAATAAAAAATTTCAAACATATGCAAAAACGGAGGTAAAGAAAATTAAAAACTTTTCTTCACCTTTCACAACGTTGGGTTTTATGTTGTTAAATGTTGGAAATTAATATAAATATCTTGCATATTTCATAGCTTTACACGGAAATTGCATTGTGATGAATAAACGAGCGTTAGGAGAAGAATAAAGCATTGAAGAATAAATTTCAATGCTCCCAACACTTTTACTTATTGCATGTTAATGTTATTATGTTGAACACCTTTCGTTTTATTTAGAAAAATTGAAGATATTTTGGTCTTACACACAAGAAATCTCTTTCATATTATAAAGCCATCAATTTGTATTATTTAAATATTTTCTGTTCAAAATAAATTTCAACACGATGTTATGCTTGTAAGACAAAATATTAAAATGAAAAATGAATAATGGAAAGATTTAAATGAGTTCTATTTAAAACCACATCTACATAGAAAACGAATAAATAATTTTATCATTAAATCACTTTGAACAATTCAAACTCACCTAAAGACAACTTTTCGCCGGAATCTGGAGGAAGCGTGAAGCCTAATAAAGCCATTGACGCTATCAAGACACATGGCACAATTAAATTGAAAAAGTAATACAACGTCTTTCTCCTGATCAATATCGCAAACGTTATATCAATGTAGGGCTCGGGGCAGCAATTATAATAGATTTCATTTCTTTGTCCAGGCACTCCTAATAGACACGAAAGAAGGAAAAAGAAATCCAAAAATGATAAAAATAAATCGAAGCAAATGGAGGGAAAGTCACGGTTAACGAGAAAAGAAGGGAACAGGAATTAAATTAACAATAAATTCTTATAGTTCACTCGTGCTTCGAAGATTTGTCGCAATTATTACAAATTATGAACAGACACACATAAACTAAATAACTACATAAAAAAGGAAAAGTATGTTCACTCTTAGAACTCACGTCATGTTTTATTGCTACAAAGAAAGCTTTAACGAAAATTAATGGCTAATTATATTCGAAGTGAGTCGATGAGAAAAGTCGATTCGATGTATGTCGAGGGTGAAGTGAATGGACACACAAAAGAAAAATGGAGAAAAAATTTATCGTGAAAGAAGACAACAAGAACTATCAACATATCGATGAAAAGTGAACATAAATAAGCTTCAGTGGATAATAAAACATCAGTCAGATCTCGTATGTTCAGCAGCTTTTCTTCTCTTTCTGCTTCCATGGTGTTTTAATGTCCTTAATGAGTTATAATGGATGATTGAAGCTAAACAAAAATAAGAAAAAAGTAAAAAAGCTTTTTTCTTTTTATTCTTTTCGTTTTTTGTCAGCGATATCTGTGTCAGCTTGAGTTCACCTCAACTTTTTGGGCCACTACGGAAACTCTATTTTTATCATTAAGTTACACAAAAGCATAACCATAACAATCATCTATAGTTACAAAACATTAAAAGCCTTTTTCAAGTATACTTTATCCAATAAATCTCCACTCTGATATTCTCTTGGGTTTCCTTTCATGAATCTGTTTCATCGTACGTACATATCTATCTCTATTTATACACATTTATCTAACTATGTATGAAAGTTTGTGTGTTTTAATATCCAGTAGATGATCTTATGTATGTTTACAGTCATGTGGTCTGCTGTATCAGGTAGAGAATGTAGAATAAATAAATTTCGTAACATGTTTAAAGATGTGATGTCTAAGATATTTCTTGTTGTTGTTGTTGTGTATTATGAAGGGTTTGAGACTCGCATGCTAGTAAATCTCACACATATAATACACGGAGATATGTAGTGTTTTATAAACAACCAGAGAATCTTATCGTTAAAAGTGGGAATGTCAAGTGATTACCCAAAAGATCCCATTCTCCATTTGTTATAAAACTGCTAATATCACCACCAGCTTCATCTTGTAATTGGACATCAAGCTGCAAATGAAAAATGAAACAAACAAAGAGAATTATTAATTACATATTTTCATTGTGATTTCATTTTGCTCGCTGCAAGCTCTCTCGCAATGCTTCATCGTTTCATTAAAAAAATATACTAATTTATATTTCTTTTGTTTCTTTCTCATTAAGTAATACTGAAACGCGGAATGGCAAGTGAAAGGCAGAAATAAAATAAAATGATTTGGTTCATTTATGAAAAATAACTGAAGTTGAATACGAGCTGAAAAGGAAAGGAAAATTTTTCACATCCTCCAATGAAGGGAATGAGAAATATAGCGCTCAATAAATCCTATTTCCATCAGATTGTAGAACATGAAGAAAACTTTCACATAAAACGTTATTTATATTGTTTTCTATTCCATTCCTTTCTTCAATTCTTTTTATTTCCATTTATTCGTTTTTCATTTTAAAAAACGAAGCTTTTTGGCGAATATTTTCACAAACAATTTGCACGCGTCTTATGCATCATTAATTTCTTTTCTCTTTGTGATTAGATTTATTTCAATGTTGTGTATATGGAACGATGTACATAGATACCAGATATGAATCTTTAGGATGTTCCGAGCAGAGCAAAAAATCGAGAAGCACAAAATTGATACATGGAAATGTAGAAATTATGTACAAACATACTCGTACGGAATCTTCAATCAAATGCACTTCTGTAAATATTGCTGATTAACTTATTAAAATTCTCTGTACAACCTCAATGAATAAATGCAATGGAAGATGAAAATCAAAACAATTTAAGCTCAAATTATGTGATTTCTGGATGCACTTGCTACTAGAATTCTTCATCTACAACAATGTCAAATGTTTAAGATGTAACGCTGAACAGCAAGTTAGAAAACTCAAAAGGCGGAAGACATCGAAGGTCACCATTTTGATTGCTCTTGCTTCAATGTAAGTTGTCACAAAAAGCTTTTTGTATCACAACATTATTGTTGGAGCTAAAAGCAAGGTTTTCTTGTTAAGTACCATTGTGACACGTCAAAATGGCTGAAAAATCACAACTGCGAGCAGCAGCGTGGTAATTCATTGGAATAAATAAGTTTCTGGCTTTTCGCATGGCATGATAAGGGAACTTTTGCAATTTATGTTTGTTATTTAACTCGGAAAATATCGCTTGGGAGAAGCGGAAGAAATGTCAAACGTAAATAACGAACGTTCCCCAAATGAAAACAGAATGTTAAATGTTAATTCCCCATCATCCTAAATAGAAATGGGGAAGATTTAGAAATGATTTCAAGTCGTGCAATATATTTTGTGCATGACGAGAAGTTAAATTAGATATTCATGAGTTGTTGACTGTTTCTTTTTAGAGCTTTTCATCCAAGAAGGAAGCTTGAAGCGAGCCTTTAACAACTAAGGTTTTATAAAAATATTTTTACAACCTCTCATCATGATTTTTATTAAATAATGATATTTATACGAAAGCAAGCAGCTGCACATTTAGCCTAACCATTATCCTCAGAGCCATCCCTTGCTTATGTTAAATAATGATGTCAAGAGTCATTTCTTTCAATTAAATTGTGGCATTCAACAAATTTAATCGTGGGAAATGAGAAATCTCAGAATTATTATTCTTTAAGATGAGAAATGGATGCAACCATGCAAAATTTTATGTTCATTGAGACTTAAATCTAATCTACATTTAGAATTTTATTTTTCAATATTAATTTTGCATCTTCCAGAAGGTACCAGCATGATGCTGCAACTTCATTTATTCTCTTCAAACATCATTGCATTTCGAATAACCAGAATGAAAAGTTTAGACAAATATTTTCTCATGAAATATTAAAATCTAAGAAAACGATTTTCTCGAAATGAGAAGCAAAAAAAACTCTAATAAAGTTCTCGCAATCTTTAAGAAAGTAACAACGATAGTTTTTTTTTATGACGCGGACTTACAAGTTCTCCTCATTTCTTATATTTTATGACTAAACGATGTACTTAAAAGATTTCGACTTTTTTTTCCTTCTGACAGTTTTCTTTGCAAAGACATGAAAGCGTTTTGACATCGAGTTTTATTGCTCATGGAAAATCATTTTGTGGAGAAAAGCTGTGAAAGGAAGTATTAACATCAGATTTTCTTCTTCTTTTCTTATCTCATCAAATGGTGAAATGAAATTCGTATTTAAGTACTCAAGTTTTTCATTCTGCTTAGTAATCTTCAATGGGGTTCTTTCATTTCCAATTTTCTAACTTTAACGACCAATTTAATCTTTTTAGTTTAGTTTTAAGTTAAAAATAAATAAAAGTTTGTGTTACTTAACATGAACATTCTTGAAAAGGAATAAGTTAACTTTTATATCTTTCCTTGAGAATCTAAAAAATATGGAACTACTGTGGAATGTTGAAGTTCAATGAACGCTACCATAATTACTCTAATATTGTAGATAATTCATTTAACTCATTATTAGCCAACACCGTTTGTGGACATAACATTAATGTTCATTATTGCTGCACCATAATGCACATGTTGCAAATATCTGCTTTCTAATATAACGTTAATCTAAACTACCGCAGAATTTCCACTCTGAAAACTGCAATAGTGGAAAATTACAGCGGCATATTTAGTAATCTGAAAAATGCAAGGAAAAGCAGTTTTGGCACTTTGCACCTTTCGCTGAGTTAATAATCTTATAATAAATTTCTTATGAATATGCCTCAATAAATATCAAATCTGATGAATCCTTTGGATATATTGTACTGGCTAAAATTAAATATTTCAAATATAATTTAATGAATTCGGATTTGTTTATTCGGTATTTCAGACGCTGTTGAATTAAAACCTTGAAAATTTGTAAAGGTTGAAAAATTGCAAAGAAAATTAATACAAAATAATCCAAAAATAAAATGAAAAATATCAATTCAGAGTATTTTTTGTATTTATGTATATCATTTGTTTTCCGCTATGTTCATGGTTGTACAAATTGCAACTATCGAAATGAAATCTTTGATCGTATTGCTATCTAAATTGAACTGACGTTGAGAATTAGCATAATGTGATAACGATTGAAGGAGATCAAATAGAGAAATTCAACAATGAAGTTTATACCGACTTTATCTGTGAAGTTCACAAACTTGAAGAATTTCTCTAATGTTGGTCTGACAAATTTATTATCTGGAAAGTTGATTAATTGTAGTCAACTTAAACGCATAAGTATTGAAGGGAATGGTTTTCGTCGACTGCCAATTATATGAATCTTATCACTTGCTATCAAAGCCAATAAATATTTTGATGATAAATATTTCAAATATCATTTAATTAGATACATTCTGATTGTTTTGTTGAGTGTGTCTATGGCCGTTGAGTTAAAAGCTTCGCATTTAACGGAAAGTTGAACAATAATTTAAGATGGGAAAATTTCATTTGAAAGTATTTTTGTTGTTTATTTCAATTACTATCCCAACGACTTCTGCAGCCAGATGTGAATATGAAGATTTAAGTTTTTCAGGATACACGTGTACCCTAAAAGAAGCAAATGTAGAGAACGAGGATGATGTGATAGTGATTGAAGGAGACCATTTACCGGGATCTAACGACAATAGCGTTGTTGGTCTAAGTGTACGAAATTCGACGATGCGGTTTATACCGGCAGAAATTTTTTTGAAGTTTACAAACTTGAATTATCTGGAATTTGCAAATGTTGGTTTGACAGACATAACATCTGGAAAGTTGTTCAATTGCAGTCAACTCGAAGAAATTTATATTTATGGAAATGATCTTCGTGCACTTCCGAGATCTACGTTTGAAGCATGTTCTGGACTAAAATATATTTTTATTGGATCAGAGCCAATAACTTCTATAGACGATGAAGCGTTTGTTGGCCTTGAGAGTCTTGAAGAATTGATTATATGGAATAATGAATTGGGGGAATTTCGAGTTCAATCATTGACACCCTTGACAAATCTTAAAGGTTTTTACATGATCTATAACAAATTGACAAATTTAAATGCTGTTTTACCTGAATCAATGGCCAATCTCGAGGTCTTGGATTTATCATACAATGAGCTGTCTGAATTGCCAACAAATTTCTTCCAGAACGCAAGATCATTACGACAATTAAAAATTTCTTATAATAAAATAAGTTCTATCGACAACACAATTTTTCAGCCCCTTGTAAATTTGGAAAATCTTTCTCTTGAATTTAATAATATCTCGGATATTGGAGCTGATGCTTTTAAATCACTAAATAAGATTGTTTCGCTTAATTTGCAATTTAATCCAATACGTTCTATCCACGCTGA